TTAATATATATATGTATGTGTGTATTTTTTTTTGTGAATCTTTGACGTTAGATCTTCAATTAACATTTTATAGTAAATTATGTGAAAAATTTAATTTTTTAAGCTATAATTTTAACTGATTTTGATTGGTTAATTTTACATCAGGTAATTTTGTAAGGTATGTCCACTAAGGCATGCCTATTTTTTTACCTGTGCCCCAATCCTAGCGATACCATGTAATCAAGCCCTTAATCCTAAAATCGTGGATGGAGAATTAATTATAAGAAATATAGATAAGCGTTTTATTGTAAATCTTGGTGTTTCTTATTATAAGTATATAAAAAATTGTGTAAAGAGGAAATATACTGATATTGAGCTATTAGAAAAACTTACTTTACATAGCTATGATAATAGATTGGTAGAAAAGAAAAGCAAACGACATATTAAGAATTGTATTTTTTTCGATTTGTTGAATGTGGTTTAAAGGGAATTGAAGGGTATTTAGATTTACTTCAAACTGTATATAAGCAGGAGCCAATACAGGAATATTTTTCCAAATTCACGATTCCTATCATTGCGGACTGGCCCGGTCAATTCTACATTCATAAAGCTATAGCACAGAAAGTTCTTTTGAATAATCCAAACATTCCTGAATTTGTTATAGCATTCCTACCTATGATGGGTCCTCTTCATGTCTCATTGAACGACCATGAACTTGTTTTTAAGAAAAATGTATTCTTGTTTAATGATATTTATAAAAGTGTTTTTGGAATTCGTAAGGATCTTGGTAAGAAACCACAGCCATAGTGAATTGATTTAATTCTCTATATAGTATATTTGGCGTGGTTTGAAATAAAAGATTTTATTTTTTCAAAATTCGGTTATGTATACAAAAATATAGAATTTTTGTATTTAACTAACCTTTTTAGTAATTTAGTTTCTTTAGTTTTAGATATTTATACGATACATCATCGAGAAGGAAACTGGTTAGCTTACGAAGAGGCTACCATACATTGTTGGAGTAATCTTTTTTTACAGTTTGATCGAAAAAATTATAAGCGTGCACTTTTGATGTTCTTTTCGGATATTTTTTATTGGATAGAAACCAATTATCCAATAATTAATTTTATTATTAACCATCTCGCTACTTTAAGCGATTCTCTTGTGAAAATATTTCACAGTATTATTAGATGGCATACCTCTAAATCTTCGACAGGTAAACAATTACGAATTGCTGCATATACTACTTATCAACAACATCACAACAATGATTTTCAACAATTCGTGTGGTCTGAAAAGTATCCTTATTCTCTGAAACAATTACGCATATATAAAACAATAAATAAATAAATAAATTTAATAAATTTGAAATTTTAAAAAAAAAATCATTGATCTAAATCGTGCAATTCGCTATTCTAAAATTCAATCCAAAAATTCAATCCGAAAATTCAATCCGATAAGTACGGTGCGATACATAATAAAAATCACAGTATAATTTGTCACCTGCTTACATAAATAGTAGTATAAAAATTGATCTACATTTATTTATCACATGACCGATTTACTGAAATTGTTGACTCAGGGTAGCCAATCATTTAACTGTCCCTGCTGTTCGTTACGTGTATTCGGGGATTTTTTGACGAACTTTGATAATGCAAGCAAGAATGTTTTGTCGATCATGATCGACAAAATTAAGAGGTCTTTCTCGCCTATGAAGCAGTCTAATAAAAAAATTTTCTCACCATTTTGGTTTCTCATCTAACCCTGACGCTAACCTCAACCCATTTTAACTCTAATCTCAAAATTAGCTTAGTGCGGGCCGATGTCGATCAACCTAGGCCGAATGATCGATAAAACCTGGCACAAGTTCTTGTTTTGATTATTAATTGGACTATATTCTTGAGCAGATATTTGAAATTGATTGAACATCGATATTTGAATTTAAGAAATTTTCCCCGAATACGGACCGACCCAAATTAAGTAGACTTAAACGGCCAATCATATGAAAGTCTTCCTTATGACGGTTTAAATCTACTACGTATAATTTAAGGTAACAAATTGCCTTTTAAAAAATTCTAAAGTAGAAAAATTAAATTAACATGGTTTAGCGTTAGCCGATAAGATTTTTATCGAATAATTTGGGCCCATTGTATGGTGAATTTCCCACGCTAGTGCATGTGTATTTAAAGTCACATCAAAGACCAAGAAACTTTACAAAAAATAATGGAAGACGAGATGTCAAAAGATTTACTTCAAAAAATCCTAAAATCTGTCGAACTTTTAAAAAAAGAGCAAGACGCGCTCTCAGCAAAGGTATTTATCTTATAAGACTAAGGAAATGGATTTTATAACCACGTCTAAAATATATTTCATATAATCGTGTTGACAGCTTGACTCGTATGAAAGACATACCGATGACAAATTAAAAAAGTTACAGGATCAATTAAAGCCAAGTAATGGAAAAACTGAAAAAACTAAAGTCGAAGGTATTCTATTTATAAGTTACACATATTTTTCTCTTTTTTTTTCTTAACTCAAAAGCTGCAAGATTAGAAGTCCATCAGGCAAAAGTCAGTGCAACGTCTAAAGGTTCTAAATATCCTGATATAATAATTTTGACAAGTAAGTTTCTGACGCCAATTTATTTCATTAATTACCAATTTATTTCATTAATTACACACGTTCTTACAATTAAACACATTCTTACTTAGCGTATCCTGACCAATTTGGTATTAAACCTATACCTCTGGAATGGGGTGAGCTTGATCCAAAAGTTCGTGGCCCAGTGCTGGCATCTCGCCATCCTGCAAGTATTAAGGTTCGGTATGTGGTGATTATAATTTATAGCTTTCAATGGAGGTCAAATCAGTAGTCGACCATAAGTTTTCTGGTTATTAGTTAAAGGGTCTCTGGTCTATTAATTAAATATTTGGTTACGCAAAATAATATATAGTAAGTTATATATTGCTTACACTTTGACCAATTGGACCAATTTAACTAATATTAAACTCTTGGACTAAGCCGGCCAAATTATTCTGGTTAAAGTTGATTGTTGACCAACCCATGCCAATTTTGATTCATAATTTTCATTAATCTTTGAATTTTTACTAACATGTAATTATTATAGCAATGCCATTGGAGCATATGGTGGCTCTTACTGTATTTATCGAGCATTGGCAGTTGCTATGGATGCACTTGATCCCGCCCATCGCCCTGATTTTCAAAATACAGAACCAACAGTCGTGATAGGACCTCATCCCCAATGGGGAATGCCCGACAAAATTGTTTCATTTGACCCTTTTGGCCATCTTACTGCTTCCTTGTTTAGTAGTCAAATTGCTCAGGGACTAGATATTCGTCCTACAATTGCAATAACAAAAGCACACATGAAGGTACCTGAAATTGAAAACCTTGTAAAGGCAGGAAAGTTAAAAGTTGACGGAAATATTGTGCTAAATGATACTGGTGAATTGAATGTTGTGAAAGCTGCTGTTGAGCCCGTTTGGTATTTACCTGGTGTCGCATCAAGATTTGGTATCGATGAAGGAGCTTTACGTCGTGCACTTTTTGAAGATACTGGTGGCATGTATCCAGAATTGATCACTCGTCCGGACCTTAAAGTCTTTTTGCCTCCCATAGGTGGACTATCTGTATATATATTTGGTAACCCTGCTTTCATTAGCGATTCATCAAAGAAGTTAACGGTACGAGTTCACGACGAATGTAATGGCTCTGACGTGTTTGGATCGGACATTTGTACATGTAGACCATATTTGATATATGGTATGGAAGAAAGTGTTAAAGAAGCTCAGAACGGTGGTGCCGGTGTTATCGTTTATTGTAAGTAATGTTCAAATAGATAAAGGCCTCTAAATGCATTTTCAAGCTCCGGCCCAAACAAATACTTGATCCATAAATACATTTTTTTTGTTGTTCACTATGTTGTTATAGGTTTGGTCCCTAGAAGATGCATTTATAGAAGCCTGACTAGAGTTTGAAGCGTTTTTATGAAACTAATATACATTATTATTATTATTATTATTATTATTACAGTCCGTAAAGAGGGTCGTGCACTTGGTGAAGTAATCAAATATCTTGTTTATAATGCGCGTAAACGTTCAACTGGTGGAGATACGGCAGATAATTACTTTATACGTACTGGTAATATATTTTACAACTCGTTTTGTCACGTTAAAAAATGATTGACATAAACATTTGAATATTAATACATGAATATGTTGCATATTAGAAAATGTTGCTGGTGTTAAAGATATGCGATTTCAAGCTTTAATGCCGGATGTTCTACATTGGCTTGGCATTACAAAGATTGACAGAATGATGTCAATGTCTAACATGAAATATGATGCCATCGTTGGATCCGGAATACCTATTCTTGAACGTGTACCAATTCCAGATGAATTGATTCCAGTTGATTCTCGGTTTGTATCATAATTTGTTTTATTATCTTTTAAACGATGACACTGAAACTATTGTAAATTCTTAGTGTCGAAATTGATGCCAAAATCGCAGAAGGCTATTTTAGCAACAAAAAAGCACCCACAAAAGAAGAGCTTTCACAGGTTAAAGGTAGAGGGTGGGATGATATCCAACATTGAACGTTTTTTCACTTGCAAAGAAATCTAAACGGAGCGGTAAATTCTACAAAAGAAAATGTTAAGAGATTCTTCCTACAAACTTAAATTATCGTTAAAGGATCTTACTTATATATTAGCAAAATTTTAACGATAGTACCATTAATGTTAAGCTGTATTAATATTCTTAATTTTTCTGTATTTTCGTATAATTTTAGTATTTAAGATTAAATGGTAATTTATAATGCGCACACACCTTTAAAGTTCTAATTATGACTTAAATCATCTTTTTTTTTTTTTTTTTTTTTTTTTTAAACTAAACTCGAACAAAGGAAAAAAAAAGCTAAATAAGACTCTTGTTTGTTCTGTCCATTATATAAAAAAAATAACGAAACGTATCTATGTTCTTGAACGAACACATTCAATTTTTCAGTCTTGATCGGGTACACCATATCGACTATAGGCAAATGTATGAAAATTGATAAATAAAACCAACATACAAAAACATACAAAATCGCATGACAGAGAAATATCGTACCTTTTTAATTCTTTTAATTCTTCTTCTTTCTTTTGTAGGTTCATCTTTTTCGTAACTTTATTGGGTTGATAGTATAACACAATAAGATATCTACCCATAACATTAAATCCGTTAAGGTGATCACATGCAGCTTTAGCATCGAATATGTCTAGAAGTGATGAATGTGAATAATTAGCATGTACGTATTGCAGATGAAATTCTTGAAGAACATTACCTTCATAAACTACAAAAGCAGTCCCACGTGTGTCTTTTTCTCCTCTAATACATTAAAGATATATATTTAGGATATATATAAATCAATTTCATAATAGATCAAAGGTTCAAGCAAAAAAAAAAAAAAATCTTACAATCTGATCTGTCGTATAGCGCCATACTTTCCAAAAATATCGTACATTTCTTCAGAAGTAATATTGAAAGGAAGATTTCGGACAAATAAAACACGATTTACTTCAGGTGGTAACCGGGCCTATTTGATCAGGATCGAAAAAAAGACGTTAAAATAAAATTTGCTCTGGCCAATTATTTGCTTTAACTTACATTACGGTTTTTTGCAGAAGCTGCCATCGCCATTGTAACTTGTTTTTTCTTGTAAACTTTTGCAGATAAGAAATAACTATGAAAAGTAACTATAAGAAATCTTTGATGTCGAGAGCGATGCGAAGGACACTTTTTCGAACAGCTACCCAGCACCAGCTATTATAAAATTTTACAGTCATGTGATTTTAGATTACCAAAAAGAGGGGTCGGCTAAAGCGGAGTTAATTCAATATATGATCTATATAAAAAAGGTAACCCTAAATTTCACTCCGCTTTAGCCGACCACCAAAAAGAGGGAGTCGTAGAAGGGCGTCCTTAAAATATACCCGGGGTATAGGCTCTTAGCCTATAACCAGGACCCCGAATAATATATATAGAGGTTACATTAGGTTTAATATAAGATTTTTATAAATTTTATCCAAAATCTGCAATGCTGATTGGTTGAACCTTATTTTAGCCAATCAGAATTGCAGAAAAGTGGATAATGCATCAATGTAACCTCGACTTGCATTGTTCGGGGTCCTCTATAACCCCTAAATAAATTAAAATAGCTATCACGTGCTAACTAAATTGTGAAAATATCGCCAGGTCTACGGACGGAAAGTTTCCAGATACTCCTGCACCTACATCTAAACATACCCTAAAATTAACCAATAGGATTGCACGTTATTATAGTAAAAATTAGTAAAAAAGTATATTCCTTAAACCGTCTACTTAAGCAGGCAAATTTGCCTGCTTAAATATTTTGACAAAAATAAAGCATAAAAAAATTTTTTTTTATAAAAATTTCGATTCTAATTGGTTATGGTGACTTCTAAAAGCTTGAGCCACATGCTATATTCAATAGTCACAGTGTGACATACTCGAAATAACCCAAACAAAGGATATAAATTTGCACAAAGGGTATAAAATATGTCATTTTAATCAAGCTTTTGAGTCATCTTATCTCTTTTGCATTATTTCAAAAAATCAATTCTGTAAAGTTGGTCGTGAAGAATCTTTGGTCAACTTTAATGTTATATTATAAGAAGTATCTCTGTGTGATAATTATGAAGATCTTTCATAATTGTCATGTGCAAGTATCATTTTTACTATTAAATTTGATCGTTAAGATCATATAAAAATCACATGATGATCAACCATACTTAGATGATTTTGGAATATCGTTAAGGAAATTTCATCAAATAATAATCATATAACAACTAGCACGTAGTGTTCTTTTATTCTAGTCAAGAGATTATGGGGGTGTGGCTTAATAAAATTTGGAAAAATTGTATAATAATTGGTCAAAAAAAATTTAAGCGAACAAATTTGCCCACTAGATGGTTTAAAAGATAAATTTTAGGATATATTTAGATGTATCAAAAAAGTAGATGTAGGAGTATCAAAAATGTAGGTTTTGCATCTCCAGACACCTACCAAACACGTGTTTTTACTTTAGGGTAGCAAAACTTACATTTTTGATATTCCTGAGAAAAAATGTTTTGGCCTTAATTGTGATATCAAATTTAGTATAAATTATGTTGATCAAAATATGACTATCGCTATTGATTACATATAAGCGAAACCTTATTATAAATTCTAAAAAATCATTCTACTATATTTTTCGGTTATTATAGAGTTGCCATTTAATCTATACTATTAATTAAATAATTACCACCCTATTTATGCCTAATCTTATCTATAGCTACATACCCAACAATTTAATTTTTACATTAATACGCAAGATATAAAATAAAACAAAATGAAGTTAAAATTAAAACTTATACTTAATTAAATATCTTTTTAACTAGTCATCTTGACATTTATAGTTACTATTTATCTTAAAATATTCTCTAAGTTTTGGACTATCTCGATATTTTAGACAATAATATTAATGTTTTTTTGAATTTGTATAATAGAAAATACGAATATTTTTTTCATGCATATGAAGTTACATAAAATGCACAAAGGTGATTGGCTTCTAAAAATAGCCAATTTTAAATTATTGTGTAATTTCACATGTATAAAAAAAGGATTAAATTGTTTTATCATCAGGAAATTTTTAAATAAGGTGCATATCAATTACCATTTGCAGGAGTGATTGGTATCAATTTATCTCAATTATAATTGATTGTAATCATTTAAATCTAAATGATTGTAATCGATTAGCATCGATTTATATCGATTGCAATCATTTAGATTTGAATAATTACAATTGATTATAATCGATATAAATCGATACCAATCATTCCTGCAGATGATAATTGATATGCATTTTATTTAAAAATTTCCTGATGATATTGCGATATCCAGTAAAAATTGTGATTTATTGTTTTCTAATCTTTTTGCAATTTTTACAGATCTCTGTTCTGCATCTACTTTTTTGATGTATCTAAATATATCCTAAAATTTATATACTTTTTTACTAACTTTTACTATAATAATATGCAATCCTATTGCAGTGTTGTTACAGGACAGTTGTGGACAGTAAGTTTGGATACTTTGGACAATTTTGGACAATTAAATAAATTAAAATTACTCAAAATT